ACACACAACCCACTATCACACACAACCCTCTATCACACACAACCCTCTATCACACACAACCCACTATCACACACAACCCTCTATCACACACAACCCTCTATCACACACAACCCTCTATCACACACAACCCTCTATCACACACAACCCTCTATCACACACAACCCACTATCACACACAACCCTCTATCACACACAACCCTCTATCACACACAACCCACTATCACACACAACCCTCTATCACACACAACCCTCTATCACACACAACCCTCTATCACACACAACCCACTATCACACACAACCCTCTATCACACACAACCCTCTATCACACACAACCCTCTATCACACACAACCCACTATCACACACAACCCTCTATCACACACAACCCACTATCACACACAACCCACTATCACACACAACCCTCTATCACACACAACCCACTATCACACACAACCCTCTATCACACACAACCCACTATCACACACAACCCTCTATCACACACAACCCACTATCACACACAACCCTACTATCACACACAACCCACTATCACACACAACCCTCTATCACACACAACCCTCTATCACACACAACCCACTATCACACACAACCCTCTATCACACACAACCCTCTATCACACACAACCCACTAACATACACAACCCTCTATCACACACAACCCTCTATCACACACAACCCTCTATCACACACAACCCACTATCACACACAACCCTCTATCACACACAACCCTCTATCACACACAACCCTCTATCACACACAACCCTCTATCACACACAACCCACTATCACACACAACCCTCTATCACACACAACCCACTATCACACACAACCCACTATCACCCCACTATCACACACAACCCACTATCACACACAACCCTCTATCACACACAACCCTCTATCACACACAACCCTCTATCACACACAACCCACTATCACACACAACCCACTATCACACCACTATCACACACAACCCACTATCACACACAACCCACTATCACACACAACCCTCTATCACACACAACCCTCTATCACACACAACCCACTAACATACACAACCCTCTATCACACACAACCCTCTATCACACACAACCCTCTATCACACACAACCCACTATCACACACAACCCTCTATCACACACAACCCTCTATCACACACAACCCACTATCACACACAACCCACTATCACACACAACCCTCTATCACACACAACCCACTATCACACACAACCCTCTATCACACACAACCCTCTATCACACACAACCCACTATCACACACAACCCACTATCACACACAACCCTCTATCACACACAACCCTCTATCACACACAACCCTCTATCACACACAACCCACTATCACACACAAACCCACATATCACACACAACCCCACTATCACACACATCCCTCTATCACACACAACCGCCTCTATCACACACAGACCCCTCTATCACACACAACCCTCTATCACACACAACCCACTATCACACACAACCCTCTATCACACACAACACTCATATCACACACAACCCTCTGATCACACACAAAACCTCTATCACACACAAACCCTCTATCACACACAAACCACTATCACACACCAACCCTCTATCACACACAACCCTCTATCACACACCACCCTCTATCACACACAACCCTCTATCACACACAACCCTCTATCACACACAACCCACTATCACACACAACCCTCTATCACACACAACCCACTTATCACCACATCAAACCCTCTATCACACACAACCCCTATCACACACACCCCACTATCACACACAACCCTCTATCACACACAACCCTCTATCACACATCAACCCTTTCTATCACCACACAACCCATCTATCACACACTAACCCTCTATCACACACAGCCCTCTATCACACACAAAACCTCTATCACACACAACCCACTATCACACACATACCCCTCTATCACACACAACCCTCTATCACACACAACCCTCTATCACACACAACCCTCTATCACACACAACCCACTATCACACACAACCCTCTATCACACACAACCCTCTATCACACAAAAACCTCTATCACACACAACCCACTATCACACACAACCCTCTATCAACACAACCCTCTATCACACACAACCCTCTATCACACACAACCCACTATCACACACAACCCTCTATCACACACAACCCTCTATCACACACAACCCTCTTATCACACACAACCCTCTATCACACACAACCCTCTTCCACACACAACCCCCACTATCACCACACAACCCACTATCACACACAACCCTCTATCACACACATTACACTCTATCACACACACCCTCTATCACACAAAACCCACTATCACACACAACCCTCTATCACACACAACCCTCTATCACACACAACCCTCTATCACACACAACCCACTATCACACACAACCCTCTATCACACACGACACTCAATCACACACAACCCTCTATCACACACAACCCACTATCACACACAACCCACTATCACACACAACCCTCTATCACACAAACCCCACTATCACACACAACCCTCTATCACACACAACCCACTATCACACACAACCCTCTATCACACACAACCCACTATCACACACAACCCACTATCACACACGACCCTCTATCACACACAACCCACTATCACACACAACCCACTATCACACACAACCCTCTATCACACACGAGTACCTATGCTCTCAGTCCCTGTGATATCCGTCCTCTCTCAGACGTGTCAGGACCTGTTAAGTTTAATTAAAAAAGCTCGCGGGCGTCCGGCTCGCCTCTCCGCTCGTCACCGAGAGACCTTCTCTTCATTAGCGATATCATCAATCACACGTGGCTCTGGAACATGGCGGGCTGACGGGGCGGTTGCCATTACTCATCACTAATAAGGAAATAAGCAAAGGGTCTGAGAGTGGACAGGGCCATGAGAGTGGGCTGTCCAAGGCTCCACAAGGTTTTTTGTCTCTGATCCGGATTATCACCGTCTGCAAACGAGAATCAAGAGCTCGTTTAGAAGCTGCATCTTTGGCTGAGTTTAATCAGACTTCTAGGAGAAATATTGTGCTTTATTAAAATGCTGCAACCCCAGTTCGCTGACTAGAACCAGGAAGTACCATCCCATAGTCCTGGTCTGAGGTCTCTGCTTCCTGTGGCTTAGACTGCAGGGACTGGCCTCCTTGTGGTCCCAGAGTCAGGGCTAGACACTGGGGAGGCTGCTCCCTCTCTCTGGTCTCTCTCTCTGGTCTCTCTCTGGTCTCTCTCTCTCTGGTCTCTCTCTGTGGTCTCTCTCTCTGGTCTCTCTTTCTGGTCTCTCTCTCTGGTCTCTCTCTCTGGTCTCTCTCTCTGGTCTCTCTCTCTGGTCTCTCTCTCTGGTCTCTCTCTGTGGTCTCTCTCTCTGGTCTCTCTTTCTGGTCTCTCTCTCTGGTCTCTCTCTGGCCTCTCTCTGGTCTCTCTCTCTGGTCTCTCTCTCTGGTCTCTCTCTCTCGATGGTCTCTCTCTCTGGTCTCTCTCTGGTCTCTCTCTGGTCTCTCACTCTGGTCTCTCTCTCTGGTCTCTCTCTCTGGTCTCTCTCTCTGGTCTCTCTCTCTGGTCTCTCTCTGGTCTCTCTCTCTGGTCTCTCTCTCTGGTCTCTCTCTCTGGTCTCTCTCTGTGGTCTCTCTCTCTGGTCTCTCTCTGTGGTCTCTCTCTGGTCTCTCTCTCTGGTCTCTCTCTCTGGTCTCTCTCTCTGGTCTCTCTCTGTGGTCTCTCTCTCTGGTCTCTCTTTCTGGTCTCTCTCTCTGGTCTCTCTCTGGCCTCTCTCTGGTCTCTCTCTCTGGTCTCTCTCTCTGGTCTCTCTCTCTGGTCTCTCTCTCTGGTCTCTCTCTGGTCTCTCTCTGGTCTCTCACTCTGGTCTCTCTCTCTGGTCTCTCTCTCTGGTCTCTCTCTCTGGTCTCTCTCTCTGGTCTCTCTCTGGTCTCTCTCTCTGGTCTCTCTCTCCCTCTGGTATCTCTCTGAGTTTGGGGTTTAACATTTTGAAAGTTACGTACCTCAGCTTTATCATAGACAGTTTGGTGAGAGCTGATGTCATACTGGGTGTTGGCGGTTTCTTTTCTGTCCGTACATAAAATACATGAAACTGAATCTAAAATAATAAATGTTTAATAATGTTGTATATTTGTTCAAAGACAGAGGTGTGAGAGTTCAAGTCTCGCTTTCACTCATCTCTTCACAGGATGTTTAAACAGAGACATAATCTGCAGGTGAAAGATCCAGTCAGACCTCTGAAGCTGTGCAGGGCGGGGCATGGTTAGTGCAGTGATGGGAGACCTCTGGGAACACCTGGTGCCACAGTGGGGCGACTGTGGCTGTAAATTGCCAAACTGTGGTTGTGTCCTTAGGCAAGACATTAGAATGAGTCTGGTGTGTGAGTGTGAACTTCCAAACAAGTTATTCTAAATTACAAATATATTCAACAGGAGATCTTTAATATCTGTTGTGTTTGTGCAGATTATCCAATCAGAACCCTCAGTTAGCTGGTTTTGGCTAGTTAGCTTATCAGGTTTTTTTTGGGTTGTTTTTTTTTGCTAATACATTTATTGACGAGATGGCTGACAGGACGCTCACACACACGCCTGGAGCTCCCAAGGTTCGAATAAAACCTGAGATTTACCGAACCATTGATGGTAAAATCATTGTTGAAGATGAATTTCTACACTTCCTCTATATTAAGCTGAAGACGTTAAGTCAGGATGAAATTGTCCTGCTTGCTGTCGACACATTTGATTCTGAGTGGATAGAAACATCCAAAAGGACACTGTTTGAGCTGTGCGCTACTACGCAGCGTAATGTTTCCCATAAAGGAATACATAAAGATGCGAACAACGTTAAAGCATGTCTCAAAGTGTTGAATGAATGTGGAGACGAAATCCCAAGATTTGTGTCTCATTACTTCGATGAACTGCCTCCGATTACTTTCAATAGTATAGATGTGTGCGGCTTGCTGCGCAAAATGGAGCACATCCACGGTGAAATATCTGCCATGCAGCATGCACTGAACCTGCAAGCCGACTCAAGTGAAAGCCTCCGTGCTATTACTTTGAATGTGAGCAACCGGGTGTGCGCCCTGGACTTACGCGCGGGCCATGGTGAGGGTGCCGGCCTGCCCTCAGTGCCGAAGCAACCGGGCGTAGTGGAGGTTATAAACTCCAACATCGAGGCTGCGGATTACAACAGTGCTGAGAGGCTGTCAGTGCCTAACGAGGAAAGACCAGCACCAGCGGATAACAGCGCGGAAACAACGAACGTTCCACTTGGATCTCCGAAATGGAGTACAGTTGTGAAGCTGGGCCAACGTCAGCAAAGGGAGCCTGCTGCTGCTAAGTCTGCGTCCCGCAGCAGGCTACTACTATCCGGGGCTGGGCAGAGGAAAAGTGGGAAGACCGTGGTGGGCACTGGAGCAGCCGGGAGCATCAAAATGATCAATACTAAGTTGGTGAGTGTCTTTGCTTCAAAATTCTCGCCAGACTTAGAAGCGGAAACTTTACGCACGTATCTCAGAGACAAACTTGGGCATGAAGTGACGTGCAACAGAATTGTTACCACAAACGACAGATATGCTTCGTTCAAAGTAACTGCCGAATGCAAAGAAGTAGATGCCATGTATGACCCCGAGCTGTGGCCCGAGGGAACATTTGTTAGGCGTTATTATGAGCCGCGTAAAGTTGCCACTGGTGCCAAGGCTGCTGCTGTCATTTCTGGAGCTATGTGCGCGCTGAGTGCTAACGCGAGTTCTCATTAAACCACCATGGAAATCCAAGTCCTATCATACAACTGTCGTGGCCTGCGTCGTGGCCAGAGCGCGGATGATAAAGCTCGCCGTTCTGTTGTCGATCAGTTGTTGGATGACCATTGTGACATTTTGTGCTTACAAGAAACATTCCTTGCAAAGCAGGATTTGAAAGGAATTAACGCCATCAATGAGAGATTCCTTGGTACAGGCGAGTCTACTACTGACCTCAGCCTAGGGGTCAGAAGAGGAAGAATAGCAGGGGGCGTGGCTATTCTGTGGAAAAAGAGTCTAGACTCAGTTGTAAACGTCATCAGGCTCAATGCGGACTGGTGCATCGCAATTCGATTGTCACAGCACAACAAGGATATTGTGATATTAAATGTATATGCTCCTTATGAATGTAATCAGAATGAAGAGGAGTACCTAAGTAAGCTTGCTTTTATTAGTGCCTTTGTGCAAAATGAAAAGTCCTCCAGTGTTTGTCATTGGTGATTTAAATGCAAATATCTTAGATAAGAACTCTGTTTTTGTGAGCCACTTAAACATGTTCTGTGCAGATAATCACCTTACACTGTCCAGTAGGGAACTCCTGCCGGAACAAAGTTACACCTATATAAGTGAAGCCTGGCACACTGTGTCGTGGCTGGACCACTGCATCACTACAGCGGATGCTCATGCTGCTCTGTCGGCCATGAGCATCTTGTATGAAATGTCCAGTGCAGATCATATCCCTGTATCAATGGTCATCAGATTTGGCATAATACCCACCATGCAGGAAGTTAAACATATTGAAAGTAAACACCTGGACTGGTCTGCTCTCTCTTCAGAAGAGCTTGCCTGATTGTGCTCACACTGACATGTTGCTAAATAATATTGCGCTGCCAAAAGGAACAGTTATGTGCTCTGATTACAATTGTACAGATGCTGGACACAGGACATCTATTTCTGTTCTGTACTCCGACATTTCTTCTGCATTAATTGAATCTAGTGCGCCTTTTTGTAAATACAGAAAGAAAGGCCAAATAAGACCTGGTTGGAACTCTCATGTGGCTACTTCCCATGCTGAAGCCCGTGACGCTTGTAAGGCCTGGGCGACTGCAGGAAAACCCAGACAGGGACCTTTGTTTGAGCATAAAAAACGTACAAATGCACAATATAAGTACGCCATTCGATTCCTATGTAAAAATGAGGAAACAATACAGGCTGACTCCATGGCCAATAAGCTTTTAAATAATGACACCAAGGCCTTCTGGAAGCAGGTTAAAGGTATAAATAATAGCAAACCCTGTCTACCTCACACTGTAGATGGAGTCACTGGGTCCCACTCTATTGTAGAACTGTGGAGAAAACATTATTTTAAACTGTTTAAAGGCACACCGTGTAACTCTTGGCCACTAGGGGCGCTAGACCTGCAACTTTCACGTTTAGCGCCCCTAGTGGCCACAAGCAACTCAGCACTGTCGCAAAAGTCAACAAACAGTCAGCCGGTGTCTTTTGAGTGTGTATTCAGACAGCATGCACTGGTGTGTGTGTTCAAACTGTAGAGACATGCCTACAGATATTGAGAGACTCTGCTGTGGTCAGCCTCCAGACCGCTGCATTAGTAATCTACCACACATGGACTTCTATATCCTGGATGAGGGAGTTCTGCGTCTAGCTCGTGCTGCGTGGAATGACATCTTTGCAGTCGATGACATCCAGGAACCAGGTGAAGAGCAGCGCTCATACAGACATGCAGCTTACAGCACGATCCCTTTCGCGTTTCCTCTTTTTAGCCTCCTCCGAAGGTTTAAAATTTTTCCTTGCCTCAGCCATGACCAGGAGTCGAGCAGGTGAAAAATGAGTAGCAAAAGCCTTAGCTCCATGAGTATATCAGCGCCTGTAGCCGTAAAGCAAGTGTTTCTTCCAAGTCACGTGACCTGGTGGCAGACGGTCCGTCTGCTCGAAAGTTACATGGGCGGTATTTCAAGAGGGCAGCCCCGCTCGGAGCATTGCAAGTGTCAAGCGCTGTATATTGGCCCAAGTATTCATATAAAATAACTCATATGTGTCAACTCTTTAGGTCACAAAGTCCGCGGTGTGCCTTTAACTGTGTCTCAAGTGAACCGTACACTGTCAACAATGTTGACTTTGTGGATTCAATTAAAGTGCATGAGGTACAACAAGCCATTAATATGCTATCAAATAATAAATCCACAGGATTGGATCATATATGTGCTGAGCATCTTAAATATGCCAGTATGAGGTTGGCCCCTCTTCTGGCCATATGCCTCTCTACCTTTGTTGTACATGGTTTTATCCCAGACTCAATGATGTCTGTGTTATTGGTTCCTGTGATAAAAGACAAAACGGGGAAAGTGGGCAACTCAGATAATTACAGACCAATCGCCCTGGCAAATATACTGTCAAAAACATTTGAGCAAATCCTTGTGAGCAGGCTCAGTGTTTACATTGGCTCCACGGACAATCAATTTGGCTTCAAAGCCCATCATGGCACTGACATGTGTATTTATGCTTTAAAAGACTTGTTAAGTAAATATAAAAGTAGACAATCCACTGTTTTTATGTGTTTTTTAGATGCCTCCAAGGCTTTTGACCGTGTTAACCATGCCAAATTGTTTCACAAACTATGTCAAGCCAATGTTCCTAAATATGTAGTCCGTTGCCTGTCTTACTGGTGTGCCCATCAGACTCTGGAGGTCAAATGGGATAACTGTGTATCTGCACCCTTTCAGGTCAGCAATGGTGTGAGACAAGGGAATTTGCTGTCTCCAATTTTATTTAACTTTTATATGAATGACCTTTCTAAAGAATTAAACTGGTGTAGAACAGGGTGTGTTGCTGGAGATAACATCGTCAACCACTTGATGTATGCTGATGACCTGGTGATTTTCAGTCCGAGTTCAGCTGGTCTCCAGCAGCTGCTTGATGTGTGTTCGGCGTACGGTGAACAAAACAATATCAAATATAATGAAAGGAAAAGTGTCATAATGACCTGTCGAACCAAAGAGGACCAAGCCCTGGTGTTTCCTGACTTTAAGCTATCTGGAAACATCCTAAAAACTGAAAGCACGGTGAAATATCTTGGTCATATCCTGACAGTATCGATGTATCGACAGTGCCGTATGCTGTACGCCCAGGCTAATATTTTGTTGCGTAAATTTGGACACTGTTCTAATGCAGTAAAAGTGGCTTTGTTTCGGGCATACTGCACCCCGCTTTACAGCGCTCATCTGTGGGTGAACTATAAAAAGTCCAGCCTACAGAGACTGAGAGTGGCCTACAACGATGCCTTCAGACTGTTGCTAAAAAGGCCCAGATGGAGCAGCGCCTCTGAACTTTTTGTGTCCTTTCAAGTGAACACACTGCAGGCCAACTTGAGGAACCTAATGTACAAGTTTATGTGTCGCCTGGACAATAGTGCAAATATGATGATTTTAGTGTTGACGAGTAGAGCATACAGTGATGTTCGTTATACCTCTGCACTGTGGAAACACTGGTATAGATGCCTCCTCCAAAGAGATTTGGGGACTTTTAATTGTTTTATGTTGTCTGTTTTTAGTGTGTTGTGTTTTGTCTATTTTTTTTTTTTTTTTTTTGTGTTTTGGACTACGAGTCTGTAATAAAAGCTATCTATCTATCTATTGACCCTGTGTTTGTAAATGTCTGTCTCTCTTTATCTGACTGATGGATAAATCCTGGTCCTTCTTTTGTTTGTAGATAAATTGGTGAGAGCTGAGGAGAGGATGGCGTTACCAGCGGCGTTTCTGTCTGAGGACCAGTTTTCCTGCTCCATCTGTTTGGAGATCTTCAACAACCCAGTGTCGACACCATGTGGACACAGCTACTGCCAGGTCAGGGCCAACTGCAGATGTAAATGAGCAGTTTTGCTACAATCTGGCACATTTACAAATGTTGTACAACTTGTAATGACTGTTCATTAATGTGTGTTGTCTATCAAATAAATAAAATGTGACATCACTTTGGCTTCTATTGGGCTTTTCAAAATGGCCGCAAGCCGCCCCTCCCACAGGAAAATGTGAAAAAAAAAACACATTTGATTGCTTTATCAGCCCTATTCATTTAAATGCATTCTAAAGTCCACAGAAGCGAAACTAGACTGGTCCAAAAAAAAAAAACTCCCTTCAGCATTGACAGCATCTTTCAAAGAGGCAAGAAGATGCTGTACATTAGCATTGGATAATTCTGTTTCTGGGTACACCCCCACAGACCAGTATTGCATGCGTGTCAGCCCACATGCTCAAGGACGTTTTTGACTTTGCCCCCACTGGGTCAAACACACAGAGACCAGAGAGAGACCAGAGAGAGACCAGAGAGAGACCAGAGAGAGACCAGAGAGAGACCAGAGAGAGACCAGAGAGAGACCAGAGAGAGACCAGAGAGAGAGACCAGAGAGAGAGCCAGCGAGAGACCAGCGAGAGACCAGAGAGAGACCAGAGAGAGAGACCAGAGAGAGAGACCAGAGAGAGAGACCAGCGAGAGAGACCAGCGAGAGAGACCAGCGAGAGACCAGCGAGAGACCAGAGAGAGACCAGAGAGAGACCAGAGAGAGACCAGAGAGAGACCAGAGAGAGACCAGAGAGAGACCAGAGAGAGACCAGAGAGAGACCAGAGAGAGACCAGCGAGAGAGACCAGCGAGAGACCAGCGAGAGACCAGCGAGAGACCAGCGAGAGACCAGCGAGAGACCAGCGAGAGACCAGCGAGAGACCAGCGAGAGACCAGCGAGAGACCAGCGAGAGACCAGCGAGAGACCAGCGAGAGACCAGCGAGAGACCAGCGAGAGACCAGCGAGAGACCAGCGAGAGACCAGCGAGAGACCAGCGAGAGACCAGCGAGAGACCAGCGAGAGACCAGCGAGAGACCAGAGAGAGACCAGAGAGAGACCAGAGAGAGACCAGAGAGAGACCAGAGAGAGACCAGAGAGAGACCAGAGAGAGACCAGAGAGAGACCAGAGAGAGACCAGAGAGAGACCAGAGAGAGAGACCAGAGAGAGACCAGAGAGAGACCAGAGAGAGACCAGAGAGAGACCAGAGAGAGACCAGAGAGAGACCAGAGAGAGACCAGAGAGAGACCAGAGAGAGACAAGAGAGAGACCAGAGAAATGTTTTAGATAAAAATCTACCCTCCATTCTCAAAAGTTTCTGTTCTTGTTTATCTGGTTCTAGTTATGTGCGTGTCTCTTGCACATGTTTTCCAATGGGGTTTTACTGCACATGACAAAGTGTGTGGTGTCTCAGGTCTGCATCTCCTCGTACTGGGACACCAGTAAGACCACGTCCCGAGCCTCTAAGATGTACCAGTGTCCTCTGTGTAAGGAGAGCTTCAGCCGCCGCCCGGAGCTGCAGATCAACCGCACCCTGAAGGAGATAACCGAGCACTTCAAACGGGCCGCGGCCTCCGGACCCTCAGGACCCCCCACAGAGACCAGGAGGAGCCCCACGCCACGTCGCACCAAGAGGGCCGAGCTGCCCGAGGGCGTGATCCACGAGATGGTCAACCGCTTCCATAAGAACAGCACCGAGACGGACGACCCGCCACCGTATACTGCCATACGCAGGTGAGGAGGGGAATGACAAGTCACCTGTTGATCTCTCTCTCTGGTCTCTGTCTGGTCTCTCTCTGGTCTCTCTCTGGTCTCTCTCTGGTCTCTCCATGGTCTCTCCCTGGTCTCTCTCTCTGGTCTCTCTCTCTGGTTTCTCACTCTGGTCTCTCTGGTCTCTCCCTGGTCTCTCTCCCTGGTCTCTCTCTCTGGTCTCTCTCTGGTCTCTCTCTCTGGTCTCTCTCTATGGTGTCTCACTCTGGTCCCTCTCTTGGCTCTCTCTGGTCTTTCTCTGGTGTCTCACTCTGGTCTCTCTTGCTGGTCTCTCTCTTGTCTTGCTCTGGTCTTCTTTGGTCTCTCTGGTCTCTCTCTCTGGTCTCTCTCTTGTCTCACTCTGGTCTCTCTCTTGTCTCACTCTGGTCTCTCTCTTGTCTTGCTCTGGTCTTCTTTGGTCTCTCTCTGGTCTCGCTCTTGTCTCGATCTGGTCTCACTCTGGTCTCTCTCTCTGGTTTCTCGCTCTGGTTTCTCGCTCTGGTCTCTCTCTGGTGTCTCGCTCTGGTCTCGCTCTGGTCTCATGTGATTGCTGGTCTCACAGGTACACATTGAGCAGTGCCCCTGAGGACCCCTCTCTGCCTCTGTGTCCGCTGCACACTCGAGGTCTGGCCTTTTACTGCTGCCAGGACCATGTGTGCGTCTGCAGCGTGTGTGCTGAGAAGGACCATCGAGGACACAGCCTCTCCCCGGCCAAGAGGGAGTGGCAGCTGCGCAAGGTACGGACCAGAGAGAGACCAGAGAGAGACCAGAGAGAGACCAGAGAGAGACCAGAGAGAGACCAGAGAGAGACCAGAGAGAGACCAGAGAGAGACCAGAGAGAGACCAGAGAGAGACCAGAGAGAGACCAGAGAGAGACGAGAGAGACCAGAGAGAGACCAGAGAGAGAGACCAGAGAGAGAGACCAGAGAGAGAGACCAGAGAGAGAGACCAGAGAGAGAGACCAGAGAGAGAGACCAGAGAGAGAGACCAGAGAGAGAGACCAGAGAGAGAGACCAGAGAGAGAGACCAGAGAGAGAGACCAGAGAGAGACCAGAGCGGCTCTCTTTGAACTGCTGTGATGTCACATGACGCTCTGGTCCTGTCCAGTCTCAGTTGGGGATCATGGACGTGGAGCTCAAAGACCAGATCACGGAGCGAGAGGGAAAAGCTCTGGAGATCCGCACCGCTCTCCTCGACATAAAGGTACGGTTTATTTCATTAAAACACATCAGGAAGTTTCTATTCCTCATAATAATCATAATAATCATAATAATCATAATAAGAATCATAATAATCGTAATAATCATAATAATAATCATAATAATTGTTAATGACCAAAAATGTTGCATTAAATTTCTTTTTCTGGTGTGTGTCTGTGTTGTGTGTCTGGTGTGTGTCTGTGTTGTGTGTCTGGTGTGTGTCTGTGTTGTGTGTCTGGTGTGTGTCGCTGGTGTGTGTCTGGTGTGTGTCGCTGGTGTGTGTCTGTGTTGTGTGTCTCTGGTGTGTGTCTGTGTTGTGTGTCTGGTGTGTGTCTGTGTTGTGTGTCTGGTGTGTGTCGCTGGTGTGTGTCGCTGGTGTGTGTTGCTGGTGTGTGTCTCTGTTGTGTGTCTGATGTGTGTGTCTGGTGTGTGTCTGTGTTGTGTGTCTGGTATGTGTCTCTGTTGTGTCTCTGGTGTGTGTCTTTGGTGTGTGTCTCTGGTGTGTGTCTCTGGTATGTGTCTCTGTTGTGTGTCTCTGGTGTGTGTCTCTGTTGTGTGTCTCTGGTGTGTGTCTGTGTTGTGTGTCTCTGTTGTGTGTCTCTGGTGTGTGTCTGTGTTGTGTGTCTCTGGTGTGCGTCTGTGTTGTGTGTCTGGTGTGTGTCTCTGGTGTGTGTCTGTGTTGTGTGTCTCTGGTGTGTGTCTGTGTTGTGTGTCTGGTGTGTGTCTCTGGTGTGTGTCTGTGTTGTGTGTCTCTGGTGTGTGTCTCTGGTGTGTGTCTGTGTTGTGTGTCTCAGGCGGCAGCAGAGCTACAGACGGAGGAAGCCCTGGGAGCCTTTCTGAGCCTGATCTCCAACGTGGAGCGCTGTCAGGCGGATATACTGGAGGTCTGTAGTTTAGCCTTTTTACAACACTCATACCTCCTCAGCCACAGACCTGGAGGGGGTTTTAGATCCATCCACGCTCAGGGATCTTCTGATCTTCTGCCAAGGGTTCCAAAAATACAGACATCTTCCATGAGAATTTTTAAAGGAATTGAAGAGAATTATTTTGTTTTTAAATACATTTTTAACAGAATTTTCTAATTGGAAGGTTGGTTCTTTGTTGGGAACTTTAAAGGAGCTGTGTGTAAAAATGTGGCCAAAAGTGGTACTGCAGCCTCTCCCACTCTCCCTGACTCAGGTTGCCAGATATGCAGACGAATCCAGCTGGGACCATAACAGCTGAATAGACAAGAGTTTTGCCAACAACAAATCTATAAACAACACTTTTATTCACAAAGATAGAAATCCTGGTTTTAAAACTCATTTTGAAATCCAAATATCTCTGAACTACTGTTATCAGTTAAAGAAGTATTGGAAAAGAACATGTTTTATTAATGCCTTTGACACATTAGGGCCCTTTAATGAGGACATGAAAATCTTCCACAAATATTCAAAAACACACTTATATCCAGGTCGTGCCTCACACACGGCAGACAGCTCACTGATACGGACAGCACGCCCCCTACTGGCCATGCGCCTCCATCACATGTACAGAAGACTGAAGAAGACTGGACCAGATAGTTTAGTCCACAGCCTTCAATAACGTGAAGTGTTGATGATAGAATGGGAATCCGTATATTTATGCTTGGATATAAAACAATTGGATAATATTGAATTACATTTTTCACTCTGTTATTGATAATACTAATACTACTAATGTATTTGTAAATAAGTAAAGTAGCAATCTTTTTGTGTATGTAGCGTCTTTCACAGACCAGAGTCACAAAGCTGGGAGCGGGGTCAGCGTACAGGAGGCACATGCCAGACCTATTGGATGTGTTTTTAGTGGTGGGGGAAACCGGAGCACCTGGAGGAAACCTACTCAGACGCGGGGAGAATACAGACCCAGGACTTTGCTCATTGAATTCATATTAGATTCCTACAGCGCGTTTTTGGACTCACAAAAACGCTTTACTATTGTGTTTGAGAGAGACCAGAGGGAGACCAGAGAGACCAAAAAGAGAAACCAGAGAGACCAGAAAGAGACCAGAGAGATGAGTGTGTTGTGTTGTTCTCAGGTGATAGAGATGAGTCGACGCTCGGCCGAACACCAGACGCAGAAGCAGTTGAAGGATCTGGAGGAAGAACTGAAGGAACTGAGAAAGAGGAGTGCAGCTGTGGACCAACTCAGCCACGCAGACTACGTCCACATGTTAGAGGTGAGAGAGCGTTCAGGAACCAGAGACAGAATTACAGATCTGAGGGACTCTATTCTCCAATAAGGGCGACAGTGGCTCAGTTGGTAGAGCATTGGCCTTTGAGCCTGAAGGTCGTGGGTCCGAGCCCACCATGAGACCTTCTCCACCAACTCCCACTGATTGACTGCTGCCGTTGTGTCCTTGGGCAAGACACTTAACCCCACTTAGTCTGAAGCCCCGCTGAAAGATCAAGGCTCTGCCATCTTCCTGTGGACTCAGCACCTGCAGGAGGATCAGTGAGGGGCTGGTGCTCTGTGCACTAGATGGCATATCTGGCCACCCCCCTGACCCACAAATGTTCTACCTCATTGACTGCCAGCCTATTTCAGAACAGGTACTCCTATATTGCCAGCCGTTTCTGATGGTTTTTTACTGATTTTTCAAGACCCACAGAATATTGTGTACTATGACTATCTGAAATCCGACACCAGATTCTAAAAGAATGGACTGTCTACTTTCATCAGCAAAAATAATTTAGTTTCTAGCTTGTTTCGAGGGAAGTTTTACTGAAATCACCAACAAGCTGAGAAAAAAGAGGCACAACAAGTGCATCCTGTTTTCAAACCAACCACAGAGCGGTGCTGCCACCTGCTGGCTCCATAAAATATGCTCTCAAGCTGATCCCCATACATATTAGATATTATAGACATCTGGGAACATGAAAATGGAATGGAATGGGTGGATATTCTCCAAAAACAGATCAGAAAATCAAACAGTTCAAACTCAGGAAATACAACAATGACAAACACAGAGACATTGGTCCAAAGGGAGCGGGACGACCACTGTCCATGTTCATAAATGTCCTGGATCATCTCTGTCCTTAGACCTTCTTCAACTCCAGTAGAAGCCTAGATAATTTGTTTTTCTCATTCAAATTGCGTGTTTTCCAACAGAAGTTAAAAGATTAAGTTGGTGAAAAAATCTAACCATAACATACTGTCATGTCATTAACACCCAGTTTATTTATCCATTACTGGGAGAGGTGACAGTCAGAGCTGCACCCAATAAACAGAGAACCAGCCCCTGATCCTCCTGCAGGGGAAGATGGCTGCTCTTTCAACAAATATACAGCAGTGGTGTTTTAGAGGGGGCTTCAGGCAATGTGGGGTGTCTTGCCCAGAGACACAACCACAGCGGACATCAGTGGGAACAGGTGACCTAGGTTGTGGGGGATCGAACCCACAACCATTAGTTCTAGTTCCAAAGACCAATGCTCTACCAACCGAGCCACTGTCTTGATCTTATTAGTATGTAATTTTGCGTACTTGTCCATATATGATCCGCATTACACCAGTCTTGTCTCTGCAGAGCTTCCCGTCTCTCCCTCCTCCTCCTCACACCAGAGACTGGAGCTCTGCCTCTGTGGACTCAGCGCTGCCCTCTGCTGTCGTCCTGCGGAACATCACTCAGACCGTGGAGCGCTTCAAAGACGACCTGAGCAAACTGACCGAAGTCTGTGAGTAACTGAGACACTGACTGAAGTCTGTGAGTAACTGAGAAACTGACTGAAGCCTGTGAGTAACTGAGACACTGACTGAAGCCTGTGAGTAACTGAGACACTGACTGAAGCCTGTGAGTAACTGAGACACTGACTGAAGTCTGTGAGTAACTGAGACACTGACTGAAGTCTGTGAGTAACTGAGACACTGACTGAAGTCTGTGAGTAACTGAGACACTGACTGAAGTCTGTGAGTAACTGAGACACTGACTAAAGTCTGTGAGTAACTGAGACACTGACTGAAGTCTGTGAGTAACTGAGAAACTGACTGAAGCCTGTGAGTAACTGAGACACTGACTGAAGTCTGTGAGTAACTGAGACACTGACTGAAGTCTGTGAGTAACTGAGACACTGACTGAAGTCTGTGAGTAACTGAGGCACTGACTGAAGTCTGTGTGTAACTGAGACACTGACTGAAGTCTGTGAGTAACTGAGACACTGACTGAAGTCTGTGAGTAACTGAGACACTGACTGAAGTCTGTGAGTAACTGAGACACTGACTGAAGCCTGTGAGTAACTGAGACACTGACTGAAGTCTGTGAGTAACTGAGAAACTGACTGAAGTCTGTGAGTAACTGAGAAACTGAAGTCTGTGAGTAACTGAGACACTGACTGAAGTCTGTGAGTAACTGAGAAACTGACTGAAGTCTGTGAGTAACTGAGAAACTGACTGAAGCCTGTGAGTAACTGAGACACTGACTGAAGTCTGTGAGTAACTGAGAAACTGACTGAAGTCTGTGAGTAACTGAGACACTGACTGAAGTCTGTGAGTAACTGAGACACTGACTGAAGTCTGTGAGTAACTGAGACACTGACTGAAGTCTGTGAGTAACTGAGACACTGACTGAAGTCTGTGAGTAACTGAGACACTGACTGAAGTCTGTGAGTAACTGAGACACTGACTGAAGTCTGTGAGTAACTGAGACACTGACTGAAGTCTGTGAGTAACTGAGACACTGACTGAAGTCTGTGAGTAACTGAGACACTGACTGAAGTCTGTGAGTAACTGAGACACTGACTGAAGTCTGTGAGTAACTGAGACACTGACTGAAGTCTGTGAGTAACTGAGACACTGACTGAAGTATGTGAGTAACTGAGACACTGACTGAAGTCTGTGAGTAACTGAGACACTGACTGAAGTCTGTGAGTAACTGAGACACTGACTGAAGTCTGTGAGTAACTGAGACACTGACTGAAGTCTGTGAGTAACTGAGACACTGACTGAAGTCTGTGAGTAACTGAGACACTGACTGAAGTCTGTGAGTAACTGAGACACTGACTGAAGTCTGTGAGTAACTGAGACACTGACTGAAGTCTGTGAGTAACTGAGACACTGACTGAAGTATGTGAGTAACTGAGACACTGACTGAAGTCTGTGAGTAACTGAGACACTGACTGAAGTCTGTGAGTAACTGAGACACTGACTGAAGTCTGTGAGTAACTGAGAAACTGACTGAAGCCTGTGAGTAACTGAGACACTGACTGAAGTCTGTGAGTAACTGACACACTGACTGAAGTCTGTGAGTAACTGAGACACTGACTGAAGCCTGTGAGTAACTGAGACACTGACTGAAGTCTGTGAGTAACTGAGACACTGACTGAAGCCTGTGAGTAACTGAGACACTGACTGAAGTCTGTGAGTAACTGAGACACTGACTGAAGTCTGTGAGTAACTGAGACACTGACTGAAGTCTGTGAGTAACTGATACACTGACTGAAGCCTGTGAGTAACTGAGACACTGACTGAAGCCTGTGAGTAACTGAGACACTGACTGAAGCCTGTGAGTAACTGAGACACTGACTGAAGTCTGTGAGTAACTGAGACACTGACTGAAGCCTGTGAGTAACTGAGACACTGACTGAAGCCTGTGAGTAACTGAGAAACTGACTGAAGCCTGTGAGTAACTGAGAAACTGACTGAAGTCTGTGAGTAACTGAGACACTGACTGAAGCCTGTGAGTAACTGAGAAACTGACTGAAGTCTGTGAGTAACTGATACACTGACTGAAGCCTGCGAGTAACTGAGACACTGACTGAAGCCTGTGAGTAACTGAGACACTGACTGAAGTCTGTGAGTAACTGAGAAACTGACTGAAGCCTGTGAGTAACTGAGAAACTGACTGAAGCCTGTGAGTAACTGAGAAACTGACTGAAGTCTGTGAGTAACTGAGAAACTGACTGAAGTCTGTGAGTAACTGAGAAACTGAAGTCTGTGAGTAACTGAGACACTGACTGAAGTCTGTGAGTAACTGAGAAACTGACTGAAGTCTGTGAGTAACTGAGAAACTGAAGTCTGTGAGTAACTGAGAAACTGACTGAAGTCTGTGAGTAACTGAGAAACTGACTGAAGTCTGTGAGTAACTGAGAAACTGAAGCCTGTGAGTAACTGAGAAACTGACTGAAGTCTGTGAGTAACTGAGAAACTGACTGAAGTCTGTGAGTAACTGAGAAACTGACTGAAGTCTGTGAGTAACTGATACACTGACTGAAGTCTGTGAGTAACTGAGAAACTGACTGAAGTCTGTGAGTAACTGATACACTGACTGAAGTCTGTGAGTAACTGAGACACTGACTGAAGTCTGTGAGTAACTGAGACACTGACTGAAGTCTGTGAGTAACTGAGAAACTGACTGAAGTCTGTGAGTAACTGAGAAACTGACTGAAGTCTGTGAGTAACTGAGACACTGACTGAAGTCTGTGAGTAACTGAGACACTGACTGAAGTCTGTGAGTAACTGAGACACTGACTGAAGTCTGTGCGTAACTGAGACACTGACTGAAGTCTGTGCGTAACTGAGACACTGACTGAAGTCTGTGAGTAACTGAGACACTGACTGAAGTCTGTGAGTAACTGAGAAACTGACTGAAGCCTGTGAGTAACTGAGAAACTGACTGAAGCCTGTGAGTAACTGAGAAACTGACTGAAGTCTGTGAGTAACTGAGAAACTGACTGAAGTCTGTGAGTAACTGAGAAACTGAAGTCTGTGAGTAACTGAGACACTGACTGAAGTCTGTGAGTAACTGAGAAACTGACTGAAGTCTGTGAGTAACTGAGAAACTGAAGTCTGTGAGTAACTGAGAAACTGACTGAAGTCTGTGAGTAACTGAGAAACTGACTGAAGTCTGTGAGTAACTGAGAAACTGACTGAAGCCTGTGAGTAACTGAGAAACTGACTGAAGTCTGTGAGTAACTGAGACACTGACTGAAGTCTGTGAGTAACTGAGACACTGACTGAAGCCTGTGAGTAACTGAGACACTGACTGAAGCCTGTGAGTAACTGAGAACCTGACTGAAGCCTGTGAGTAACTGAGACACTGACTGAAGTCTGTGAGTAACTGAGACACTGACTGAAGCCTGTGAGTAACTGAGAAACTGACTGAAGTCTGTGAGTAACTGAGACACTGACTGAAGTCTGTGAGTAACTGAGACACTGACTGAAGTCTGTGAGTAACTGAGACACTGACTGAAGTCTGTGAGTAACTGAGACACTGACTGAAGTCTGTGAGTAACTGAGACACTGACTGAAGTCTGTGAGTAACTGAGACACTGACTGAAGTCTGTGAGTAACTGAGACACTGACTGAAGCCTGTGAGTAACTGAGACACTGACTGAAGTCTGTGAGTAACTGAGAAACTGACTGAAGTCTGTGAGTAACTGAGACACTGACTGAAGTCTGTGAGTAACTGAGACACTGACTGAAGCCTGTGAGTAACTGAGACACTGACTGAAGCCTGTGAGTAACTGAGCAACTGACTGAAGTCTGTGAGTAACTATTAAAGCACTGAAAGGCCAGACGTTACAATGGAGACATACCAAATTAATAGCATGGGGATATTGGCCAGTTTTTTAGTGATTTCATATTGTTTCTCTGATCTAACTCTCTCTCTCTCTCTGGTCTGTCTCTGGTCTCTCTCTCTGGTCTGTCTCTGTTCTCTCTCTCTGGTCTGTCTCTGGTCTCTCTCTGGTCTGTCTCTGGTCTCTCTCTCTGGTCGGTCTCTGGTCTCTCTCTCTGGTCTGTCTCTGGTCTCTCTCTCTGGTCTGTCTCTGGTCTGTCTCTCTGGTCTGTCTCTGGACTCTCTCTCTGGTCTGTCTCTGGTCTCTCTCTCTGGTCTGTCTCTGGTCTGTCTCTGGACTCTCTCTCTGGTCTGTCTCTGGTCTGTCTCTGGTCTCTCTCTCTGGTCTGTCTCTGGTCTGTCTCTCTGGTCTGTCTCTGGTCTGTCTCTCTGGTCTCTCTCTGGTCTGTCTCTCTGGTCTGTCTCTCTGGTCTGTCTCTCTTGTCTGTCTCTGGTCTGTCTCTGGTCTCTCTCTCTGGTCTGTCTCTGGTCTGTCTCTGGTCTGTCTCTGGTCTGTCTCTGGTCTGTCTCTGGTCTGTCTCTGGTCTCTCTCTCTGGTCTGTCTCTGGTCTCTCTCTCTGGTCTGTCTCTGGTCTCTCTCTCTGGTCTGTCTCTGGTCTCTGTCTCTGGTCTGTCTCTGGTCTGTCTCTGGTCTCTCTCTGGACTCTCTCTCTGGTCTGTCTCTGGTCTGTCTCTGGTCTCTCTCTCTGGTCTGTCTCTGGTCTGTCTCTGGTCTGTCTCTCTGGTCTGTGTCTCTGGTCTCTCTCTGGTCTGTCTCTGGTCTCTCTCTCTGGTCTATCTCTGGACTCTCTCTGGTCTCTCTCTCTGGTCTCTCTCTCTGGTCTCTCTCTGGTCTGTCTCTGGTCTCTCTCTCTGGTCTCTCTCTCTGGTCTGTCTCTGGTCTGTCTCTGGTCTCTCTCTCTGGTCTGTCTCTGGTCTGTCTCTGGTCTCTCTCTGGTCTCTCTCTGGTCTGTCTCTGGTCTCTCTCTCTGGTCTGTCTCTGGTCTCTCTCTGGTCTCTCTCTCTCCCTGGTCTCTCTCTGGTCTCTCTCTGGTTCTCTCTCTGGTCTGTCTCTCTGGTCTGTCTCTGGTCTCTCTCTCTGGTCTGTCTCTGGTCTCTCTCTCTCCCTGGTCTCTTTCTGGTTTCTCTCTGGTCTATCTCTTTCTCTGGGATATTTGCCGTTACCCCTGGATAAATAGTTTTGTGTCTAACCCCAAAACGTTTCTTTGTTGTTTAGTAAAAGGACAGAACGGTGCAGTGGAGAAGCCTGTCATCAAACACAACCCAAGTACTGAGTCTCTGCTCTCTCTCTGGTCTCTCTCTCTGGTCCCTCTCTGGTCTCTCTGGTCTCTGGTCTCTCTCTGGTCTCTCTGGTCTCTCTCTCTGGTCTCTCTCTCTGGTCTCTCTCTGGTCTCTCCCTGGTCTCTCTCTGGTCTCTCTCTGGTCTCTCTCTGGTCTCTCTCTCTGGTCTCTCTCTCTGGTCTCTCTCTGGTCTCTCTCTCTGGTCTCTCTCTCTGGTCTCTCTCTGGTCTCTCTCTCTGGTCTCTCTCTCTGGTCTCTCTCTGGTCTCTCTCTCTGGTATCTCTCTCTGGTCTCTCTCTGGTCTCTCTCTGGTCTCTCTCTCTGGTCTCTCTCTGGTCTCTCTCTCTGGTCTCTCTCTCTGGTCTCTCTCTGGTCTCTCTCTCTGGTTCTCTCTTTGTCTCTCTCTGTCTCTCTCTGTCTCTCTCTGGTCTCTCTCTGGTCTCTCTCTGGCTCTCTCTGGTCTCTCTCTGTCTCTCTCTCTGGTCTCTCTCTGTCTCTCTCTGGTCTCTCTCTGTCTCTCTCTCTGGTCTCTCTCTCTGGTCTCTCTACTGTACTCTCCTCATTCTCCTCTCTGTCCCTTAATCCATTCTCTCTGGTCGGGGGGTCAGTCATAGCTCTCTACTCTACCTACTCTGGTCTCTCTCTCTGGTCTCTCTCTGGTCTCTCTCTGTCTCTCTCTGGTCTCTCTCTGTCTCTCTCTCTGGTCTCTCTCACTCTGGTCTCTCTCTCTCTCTCTCTCTGGTCTCTCTCTGGTCTCTCTCTCTGGTCTCTCTCTCTCTGTCTCTCTCTCTCTCTCTCTGGTCTCTCTCTGTCTCTCTCTGGTCTCTTCTCTCTGGTCTCTCTCTGGTCTCTCTCTGGTCTCTCTCTGGTCTCTCTTCTCTCTCTCTCTCTCTGTCTCTGGTCTCTCTCTGGTCTCTCTCTCTGGTCTCTCTCTCTGGTCTCTCTCTCTGGTCTCTCTCTCTGGTCTCTCTCTGGTCTCTCTCTGGTCTCTCTCTCTGGTCTCTCTCTGGTCTCTCTCTGGTCTCTCTCTGGTCTCTCTCTCTGGTCTCTCTCTCTGGTCTCTCTCTGGTCTCTCTCTGGTCTCTCTCTGGTCTCTCTCTGGTCTCTCTCTGGTCTCTCTCTGGTCTCTCCCTGGTCTCTCTCTGGTCTCTCTCTGGTCTCTCTCTCTGGTCTCTCTCTCTGGTCTCTTGCTGGTCTCTCTCTGGTCTCTTGCTGGTCTCTCCCTGGTCTCTCTCTGGTCTCTCTCTGGTCTCTCTCTCTGGTCTCTCTCTCTGGTCTCTTGCTGGTCTCTCTCTGGTCTCTCTCTGGTCTCTCTCTCTGGTCTCTCTCTCTGGTCTCTTGCTGGTCTCTCTCTGGTCTCTCTCTGGTCTCTCTCTGGTCTCTCTCTCTGGTCTCTCTCTCTGGTCTCTTGCTGGTCTCTCTCTGGTCTCTCTCTGGTCTCTCTCTCTGGTCTCTCTCTCTGGGCTCTCTCTGGTCTCTCTCTGGTCTCTCTCTGGTCTCTCTCTCTGGTCTCTCTCTCTGGTCTCTTGCTGGTCTCTCTCTGGTCTCTTGCTGGTCTCTGCGTCAAACGGACACAAATGAGCAGTTTTCTAAAAACAGCTCAGTGGGATCAGAGCAGCTGCGTTAGCTCCATCTGCACCCACGCATCCGCCGCCGCTGCAGCCGCACCAGCCTCAGTCCTGGTGTGTCTGACGCGGGGGGGGGAGACGGGGGAGACGGGGACGAGGGGGGAGTGGGGAGAGATAATGGTGTAATTAACAAGAATAGCTCTGCAGTCGTCACAGAGCGGGTTTAAGAGCAGATAAAGCAGAGGGGGGGGGGGGGGCTGGAGACGGTTACCATGGAAACGAGAGGGTTTTTGTGTAGAGGAAGAGAGAGAGGACAGCAGCTTAGAGCTTATAGTTAGTTAGAGCTTAGTTAGAGTTAGAGCTTAGTTAGAGCTTATAGTCAGTTAGAGCTTAGTTAGAGCTTATAGTTAGTTAGAGCTTAGTTAGAGCTTATAGTTAGTTAGAGCTTATAGTCAGTTAGAGCTTAGTTAGAGCTTATAGTTAGTTAGAGCTTAGTTAGAGCTTATAGTTAGTTAGAGCTTATAGTCAGTTAGAGCTTAGTTAGAGCTTATAGTTAGTTAGAGCTTATAGTTAGTTAGAGCTTAGTTAGAGCTTATAGTTAGTTAGAGCTTATAGTTAGTTAGAGCTTAGTTAGAGCTTATAGTTAGTTAGAGCTTATAGTTCATTAGAGCTTAGTTAGAGCTTATAGTTAGTTAGAGCTTATAGTTAGTTAGAGCTTAGTTAGAGCTTATAGTTAGTTAGAGCTTATAGTTCGTTAGAGCTTAGTTAGAGCTTTGTTAGAGTTAGAGCTTTGTTAGAGTTAGAGCTTAGTTAGAGCTTATAGTTAGTTAGAGCTTAGTTAGAGTTAGAGCTTATAGTTAGTTAGAGCTTAGTTAGAGTTAGAGCTTAGTTAGAGCTTATAGTTAGTTAGAGTTTAGTTAGAGCTTAGTTAGAGCTTAGTTAGAGTTAGAGCTTATAGTTAGTTAGAGCTTAGTTAGAGTTAGAGCTTAGTTAGAGCTTATAGTTAGTTAGAGTTTAGTTAGAGCTTAGTTAGAGCTTAGTTAGAGTTAGAGCTTAGTTAGAGTTAGAGCTTATAGTTAGTTAGAGCTTAGTTAGAGTTAGAGCTTAGTTAGAGCTTATAGTTAGTTAGAGTTTAGTTAGAGCTTAGTTAGAGCTTAGTTAGAGTTAGAGCTTAGTTAGAGTTAGAGCTTAGTTAGAGCTTAGGCCACATGGGCCCGATTCACAGTTCAGTCCGGCCCGGACCCTTTACAGCTCAAAACTGATAAATAATTGTCCATAAAAAATATATATTTATGGTCTATTAATTTACAATAAACTCAGGTCACACACACACACTCAGGTCACACACACACACACACACACACACACTCAGGTCACACACACACAGAGGTCACACACACACACACACACACTCAGCTCACACACATACTCAGGTCACACACACACACACACTCAGGTCACACACACTCAGGTCACACACACACACACACTCAGGTCACACACACACACACACTCAGGTCACACACACTCAGGTCACACACACACACACACACTCAGGTCACACACACACACACAGGTCACACACTCAGGTCACACACACACACACACTCAGGTCACACACACACACACACTCAGGTCACACACACTCAGGTCACACACACACACACACACTCAGGTCACACACACACACACACACAGGTCACACACTCAGGTCACACACACTCAGGTCACACACACACACACACTCAGGTCACACACACACACACACACACAGGTCACACACTCAGGTCACACACACTCAGGTCACACACACACACACACTCAGGTCACACACACACACACACACACAGGTCACACACTCAGGTCACACACACTCAGGTCACACACACACACTCAGGTCACACACACACATACACACACAGGTCACACACTCAGGTCACACACATACACACACACACACACACTCAGGTCACACACACACACACACAGGTCACACACTCAGGTCACACACATACACACACACATACACACACACACACACACACAGGTCATTTCAAACACAAATGTGACACTTTCACACTCCTCAGACCAACACCTCCTCTGTGTCTGTGGTCACAGGAGCGTCTGTGATTGGTCAGTGAGAGAATGAGAGTAAGGCTGTGATTGGTCAGTGAGAGAATGAGAGTAAGGCTGTGATTGGTCAGTGAGAGAATGAGAGTAAGGCTGTGATTGGTCAGTGAGAGAATGAGAGTAAGGCTGTGATTGGTCAGTGGGAGAATGAGAGTAAGGCTGTGATTGGTCAGTGGGAGAATGAGAGTAAGGCTGTGATTGGTCAGTGAGAGTAAGGCTGTGATTGGTCAGTGAGAGTAAGGCTGTGATTGGTCAGTGAGAGTAAGGCTGTGATTGGTCAGTGAGAGTAAGGCTGTGATTGGTCAGTGAGAGAATGAGAGTAAGGCTGTGATTGGTCAGTGAGAGTAAGGCTGTGATTGGTCAGTGAGAGAATGAGAGTAAGGCTGTGATTGGTCAGTGAGAGTAAGGCTGTGATTGGTCAGTGAGAGAATGAGAGTAAGGCTGTGATTGGTCAGTGGGAGAATGAGAGTAAGGCTGTGATTGGTCAGTGAGAGTAAGGCTGTGATTGGTCAGTGAGAGTAAGGCTGTGATTGGTCAGTGAGAGTAAGGCTGTGATTGGTCAGTGAGAGAATGAGAGTAAGGCTGTGATTGGTCAGTGAGAGAATGAGAGTAAGGCTGTGATTGGTCAGTGAGAGAATGAGAGTAAGGCTGTGATTGGTCAGTGAGAGTAAGGCTGTGATTGGTCAGTGAGAGTAAGGCTGTGATTGGTCAGTGAGAGAATGAGAGTAAGGCTGTGATTGGTCAGTGAGAGTAAGGCTGTGATTGGTCAGTGAGAGAATGAGAGTAAGGCTGTGATTGGTCAGTGAGAGTAAGGCTGTGATTGGTCAGTGAGAGAATGAGAGTAAGGCTGTGATTGGTCAGTGAGAGAATGAGAGTAAGGCTGTGATTGGTCAGTGGGAGAATGAGAGTAAGGCTGTGATTGGTCAGTGAGAGTAAGGCTGTGATTGGTCAGTGAGAGTAAGGCTGTGATTGGTCAGTGAGAGAATGAGAGTAAGGCTGTGATTGGTCAGTGAGAGTAAGGCTGTGATTGGTCAGTGAGAGTAAGGCTGTGATTGGTCAGTGAGAGTAAGGCTGTGATTGGTCAGTGAGAGAATGAGAGTAAGGCTGTGATTGGTCAGTGAGAGAATGAGAGTAAGGCTGTGATTGGTCAGTGAGAGTAAGGCTGTGATTGGTCAGTGAGAGAATGAGAGTAAGGCTGTGATTGGTCAGTGAGAGTAAGACTGTCTGCTCTTACTGCTCTGGAAACAGGAAGGAGGTGCTCCCAAAGGAAACAACAGAGGACGAGGCGCTTTAAAATAAAGGGGTCCAGGGGCTTCCAAAGTAAAGTGACGAACGAGGGGGTGAGTGAGGGAGAGAGGGAGAGAGGGGGTGAGTGAGGGAGAGAGGGGTGAGTGAGGGAGAGAGGGGTGAGTGAGGGAGAGAGGGGGGGAGTGAGGGAGAGAGGGGGGGAGTGTGAGGGAGAGAGGGGTGAGTGAGGGAGAGAGGGGTGAGTGAGGGAGAGAGGGGGGGGTGAGGGAGAGGAGAGGGGGGTGAGTGAGGGAGAGAGGGGTGAGTGAGGGGAGAGGGGTGAGTGAGGGAGAGAGGGGTGAGTGAGGGAGAGAGGGAGAGAGGGGGTGAGTGAGGGAGAGAGGGAGAGAGGGGTGAGTGAGGGAGAGAGGGGTGAGTGAGGGAGAGAGGGGTGAGTGAGGGAGAGAGGGGTGAGTGAGGGAGAGAGGGGGTGAGTGAGGGAGAGAGGGGGTGAGTGAGGGAGAGAGGGGGGGAGTGAGGGAGAGAGGGGGGGAGTGAGGGAGAGAGGGGTGAGTGAGGGAGAGAGGGGGGGAGTGAGGGAGAGAGGGGTGAGTGAGGGAGAGAGGGGGTGAGTGAGGGAGAGAGGGGGTGAGTGAGGGAGAGAGGGGTGAGTGAGGGAGAGAGGGGGGGGAGTGAGGGAGAGAGGGGGTGAGTGAGGGAGAGAGGGGGGAGTGAGGGAGAGAGGGGGGGAGTGAGGGAGAGAGGGGTGAGTGAGGGAGAGAGGGGGGGAGTGAGGGAGAGAGGGCTGGAGGCTGAGGCAGTGTTCCTTCTCAGGTCCATGGATCCATTGCAGAGAATCAGCAGAACATGGATCAATATAATATAATAAGTATGTTTTAGTCTGAGCCGATCCTCACTGACTCCTCTGGCCCCTGGAACAGTCTTGTTCCAGCTTCTTTCCTCTGGCAGAAGATGTCGTTCGCTGTTAACAGCTTTTTTTCACAAGTTTTTGTTGCTGATTTCACAGTGACACGTTTCTTGAACATTTTTATCTTGTTTTATTCCTGCACTGGTCTGGTCCACACTGGGGACTTTCACACATGTATTCCAGTGGGGTTTTACTGCAAACAACTGAATCACAATCTGTGGTGGAGAGTCCTGTTTCTCGACGTGGGTTTGAGTTCAGTTTCAGACCAGTCTTTCCCGACCCTGGTTTAGTTTCTGTTTGATCCTATTTTTTATGTTCAGTTGGAGTCCTGCGTCAATCTGGTTTGAGTCCAGTGTGAGTCCAGTTTGAGTCCGTGTGAGTCCAGTTTGAGTCCGTGTGAGTCCAGTTTGAGTCCAGTGTGAGTCCAGTTTGAGTCCAGTGTGAGTCCAGTTTGAGTCCAGTGTGAGTCCAGTGTGAGTCCAGTGTGAGTCCAGTGTGAGTCCAGTGTGAGTCCAGTTTGAGTCCAGTGTGAGTCCAGTGTGAGTCCAGTTTGAGTCCGTGTGAGTCCGTGTGAGTCCAGTTTGAGTCCGTGTGAGTCCAGTTTGAGTCCAGTGTGAGTCCAGTGTGAGTCCAGTGTGAGTCCAGTGTGAGTCCAGTGTGAGTCCAGTTTGAGTCCGTGTGAGTCCGTGTGAGTCCAGTTTGAGTCCGTGTGAGTCCAGTTTGAGTCCAGTGTGAGTCCAGTGTGAGTCCAGTGTGAGTCCAGTGTGAGTCCAGTTTGAGTCCAGTGTGAGTCCAGTGTGAGTCCAGTGTGAGTCCAGTTTGAGTCCGTGTGAGTCCAGTTTGAGTCCAGTGTGAGTCCAGTGTGAGTCCAGTGTGAGTCCAGTGTGAGTCCAGTTTGAGTCCAGTGTGAGTCCAGTGTGAGTCCAGTGTGAGTCCAGTTTGAGTCGTGTGAGTCCAGTGTGAGTCCAGTGTGAGTCCAGTGTGAGTCCAGTGTGAGTCCAGTTTGAGTCCAGTGTGAGTCCAGTTTGAGTCTGTGTGAGTCCAGTTTGAGTCCGTGTGAGTCCAGTTTGAGTCTGTGTGAGTCCAGTTTGAGTCTGTGTGAGTCCAGTGTGAGTCCAGTTTGAGTCCAGTTTGAGTCCAGTTTGAGTCCAGTTTGAGCCAGTGTGAGTCCAGTGTGAGTCCGGTTTGAGTCCGGTTTGAGTCCGTGTGAGTCCAGTTTGAGTCCAGTGTGAGTCCAGTGTGAGTCCAGTGTGAGTCCAGTGTGAGTCCAGTGTGAGTCCAGTTTGAGTCCAGTGTGAGTCCAGTTTGAGTCTGTGTGAGTCCAGTTTGAGTCCGTGTGAGTCCAGTTTGAGTCTGTGTGAGTCCAGTTTGAGTCTGTGTGAGTCCAGTGTGAGTCCAGTTTGAGTCCAGTTTGAGTCCAGTTTGAGTCCAGTTTGAGCCAGTGTGAGTCCAGTGTGAGTCCGGTTTGAGTCCGGTTTGAGTCCGTGTGAGTCCAGTTTGAGTCCGTGTGAGTCCAGTTTGAGTCCGTGTGAGTCCAGTGTGAGTCCGTGTGAGTCCAGTTTGAGTCTGTGTGAGTCCAGTTTGAGTCCGTGTGAGTCCAGTTTGAGTCCGTGTGAGTCCAGTTTGAGTCCAGTGTGAGTCCAGTGTGAGTCCAGTGTGAGTCCAGTTTGAGCCAGTGTGAGTCCAGTGTGAGTCCGGTTTGAGTCCGGTTTGAGTCCGTGTGAGTCCAGTTTGAGTCCGTGTGAGTCCAGTTTGAGTCCGTGTGAGTCCAGTGTGAGTCCGTGTGAGTCCAGTTTGAGTCTGTGTGAGTCCAGTTTGAGTCCGTGTGAGTCCAGTTTGAGTCCGTGTGAGTCCAGTTTGAGTCCAGTGTGAGTCCAGTGTGAGTCCAGTGTGAGTCCAGTGTGAGTCCAGTTTGAGTCCAGTGTGAGTCCAGTGTGAGTCCAGTTGAGTCCGTGTGTGAGTCCAGTTTGAGTCCAGTGTGAGTCCAGTGTGAGTCCAGTGTGAGTCCAGTGTGAGTCCAGTTGTGAGTCCAGTGTGAGTCCAGTGTGAGTCCAGTGTGAGTCCAGTGTGAGTCCAGTGTGAGTCCAGTGTGAGTCCAGTGTGAGTCCAGTGTGAGTCCAGTGTGAGTCCAGTGTGAGTCCAGTGTGAGTCCAGTTTGAGTCCAGTGTGAGTCCAGTTTGAGTCCGTGTGAGTCCAGTTTGAGTCCGTGTGAGTCCAGTTTGAGTCTGTGTGAGTCCAGTTGAGTCGTGTGAGTCCAGTGTGAGTCCAGTTTGAGTCCAGTTTGAGTCCAGTTTGAGTCCAGTTTGAGTCCAGTTTGAGTCCAGTTTGAGTCCAGTGTGAGTCCAGTGTGAGTCCGGTTTGAGTCCGGTTTGAGTCCGTGTGAGTCCGTTTGAGTCCGTTGAGTCCAGTTTGAGTCCGTGTGAGTCCAGTTTGAGTCCGTGTGAGTCCAGTGTGAGTCCGTGTGAGTCCAGTTTGAGTCTGTGTGAGTCCAGTTTGAGTCCGTGTGAGTCCAGTTTGAGTCCGTGTGAGTCCAGTTTGAGTCTGTGTGAGTCCAGTTTGAGTCCGTGTGAGTCCAGTTTGAGTCCGTGTGAGTCCAGTTTGAGTCCGTGTGAGTCCAGTTTGAGTCCGTGTGAGTCCAGTTTGAGTCCGTGTGAGTCCAGTGTGAGTCTGTGTGAGTCCAGTTTGAGTCCGTGTGAGTCCAGTTTGAGTCTGTGTGAGTCCAGTTTGAGTCCGTGTGAGTCCAGTTTGAGTCTGTGTGAGTCCAGTTTGAGTCCGTGTGAGTCCAGTGTGAGTCCAGTGTGAGTCCAGTTTGAGTCCTTTGAGTCTGTGTGAGTCCAGTTTGAGTCCGTGTGAGTCCAGTTTGAGTCCGTGTGAGTCCAGTTTGAGTCTGTGTGAGTCCAGTTTGAGTCCGTGTGAGTCCAGTTTGAGTCTGTGTGAGTCCAGTTTGAGTCCGTGTGAGTCCAGTTTGAGTCTGTGTGAGTCCAGTTTGAGTCGTGTCCAGTTTGAGTCTGTGTGTCAGTTTGAGTCGTGTGAGTCCAGTTTGAGTCCGTGTGAGTCCAGTTTGAGTCTGTGTGAGTCCAGTTTGAGTCCGTGTGAGTCCAGTTTGAGTCTGTGTGAGTCCAGTTTGAGTCCGTGTGAGTCCAGTTTGAGTCCGTGTGAGTCCTGCTTCACAGTCTGAGGTGTGAGACATTTGTCACTGACGCAGCTCGGTCTCAAACACACTTCTCTGTAGAATCACAAAAAGCACAATGATAAAAACCAACATGAGGCGTTTCACTTCCTGCGGCCGAGCTTCAGGACGGAGAGAAAGAAGAAACATCATATTTGTTCAACTCGATAAAGAGAGAAATGTATTTACTTTGATCTTTCATGTTTTCAAATGTGGCTCATTTCTCAAATAGACGATATATAGATGGATAAGCGAGAAAGGATCTCAGCCTGTAATTCACCTCTTCTGCCAGCAGAGGGGGGTGTTCTGTGGACACAACCTTCATCTCAGCCTGTAATTCACCACTTCTGCCAGCAGAGGGGGGTGTTCTGTGGACACAACCTTCCATTGCAGAGATTTAGAAGAAAAATCTCTGATGTCACTGAGGAAGAAGGTTGGAACATGCAGACAAACTCAAAAAGAAAAACGCAGAAACGTGTGTCTTCACCTTTATTGGACCAGGACACGGTGGTGCAGTGGTTAGCACTGTTGCTACTCAGCTAAAAGGTCCTGGTTTTGACTCCCAGTCGTGCAGTGGACTTTGCATGTTCTCCCCATGTCTGGGTATGTTTATCCGGGTGCTTCGGTTTCCCGTCTAGATTTCTGTATTTTTCTGTTTTGACACCGAGAGCGTCGAGGCCACGAGTCATTCACGAATCAACCCTCAACATGTTAGTCTGCTTCAGTCTGTTTCAGTCTGTTTCAGTCTGCTTCAGCCTGCTTCAGTCTGCTTCAGCCTGCTTCAGCCTGCTTGAGTCTGCTTCAGTCTGCTTCAGTCTACTTCAGCCTGCTTCAGTCTGCTTCAGCCTGCTTCAGCGTGCTGCAGCCTGCTTCAGCCTGCTTCAGTCTGCTTCAGCCTGCTTCAGCGTGCTTCAGCCTGCTTCAGTCTGCTTCAGTCGGCTTCAGTGTGCTTCAGCCTGTTTCAGTCTGCTTCAGTCTGCTTCAGTCTGTTTCAGTCTGTTTCAGTCTGCTTCAGCCTGCTTCAGTCTGCTTCAGCCTGCTTCAGCCTGCTTGAGTCTGCTTCAGTCTGCTTCAGTCTACTTCAGCCTGCTTCAGTCTGCTTCAGCCTGCTTCAGCGTGCTGCAGCCTGCTTCAGCCTGCTTCAGTCTGCTTCAGCCTGCTTCAGCGTGCTTCAGCCTGCTTCAGCCTGCTTCAGTCTGCTTCAGTCTGCTTCAGTCTGTTTCAGTCTGTTTCAGTCTGCTTCAGCCTGCTTCAGCCTGCTTCAGCCTGTTTCAGTCTGCTTCAGTCTGCTTCAGTCTGTTTCAGTCTGTTTCAGTCTGCTTCAGTCTGCTTCAGCCTGTTTCAGTCTGCTTCAGTCTGCTTCAGTCTGCTTCAGTCTGCTTCAGTCTGTTTCAGTCTGCTTCCGTCTGCTTCAGTCTGCTTCAGTCTGTTTCAGTCTGCTTCAGTCTGCTTCAGTCTGCTTCAGTCTGCTTCAGTCTGCTACAGTCTGCTTCAGTCTGTTTCAGTCGGCTTCAGTGTGCTTCAGCCGGCTTCAGTGTGCTTCAGTCTGCTTCAGTCTGTTTCAGTCTGTTTCAGTCTGCTTCAGTCTGCTTCAGCCTGTTTCAGTCTGCTTCAGTCTGCTTCAGTCTGCTTCAGTCTGTTTCAGTCTGCTTCCGTCTGCTTCAGTCTGCTTCAGTCTGTTTCAGTCTGCTTCAGTCTGCTTCAGTCTGCTTCAGTCTGCTTCAGTCTGCTTCAGTCTGCTTCAGTCTGCTTCAGTCTGTTTCAGTCGGCTTCAGTGTGCTTCAGCCGGCTTCAGTGTGCTTCAGCCTGCTACAGTCTGTTTCAGTCTGTTTCAGTCTGTTTCAGTCTGTTTCAGTCTGCTTCAGTCTGCTTCAGTCTGCTTCAGTCTGTTTCAGTCTGCTTCAGTCTGCTTCAGTCTGCTTCAGTCTGCTTCAGTCTGCGTCAGCCTGCTTCAGTCTGCTTCAGTCTGCTACAGTCTGTTTCAGTCTGTTTCAGTCTGCTTCAGCCTGCTTCAGTCTGTTTCAGTCTGTTTCAGTCTGCTTCAGCCTGCTTTAGTCTGCTTCAGTCTGCTTCAGTCTGCTACAGTCTGCTTCAGTCTGCTACAGTCTGTTTCAGTCTGTTTCAGTCTGCTTCAGTCTGTTTCAGTCTGTTTCAGTCTGCTTCAGTCTGCTTCAGCCTGTTTCAGTCTGTTTCAGTCTGCTTCAGTGTGCTTCAGCCTGTTTCAGTCTGCTTCAGTCTGCTTCAGTCTGTTTCAGTCTGTTTCAGTCTGCTTCAGTCTGCTTCAGCCTGTTTCAGTCTGCTTCAGTCTGCTTCAGTCTGCTTCAGTCTGCTTCAATCTGCTTCAGTCTGTTTCAGTCTGCTTCCGTCTGCTTCAGTCTGCTTCAGTCTGTTTCAGTCTGCTTCAGTCTGCTTCAGTCTGCTTCAGTCTGTTTCAGTCGGCTTCAGTGTGCTTCAGCCTGCTACAGTCTGTTTCAGTCTGTTTCAGTCTGTTTCAGTCTGTTTCAGTCTGTTTCAGTCTGCTTCAGTCTGCTTCAGTCTGCTTCAGTCTGCTTCAGTCTGCGTCAGCCTGCTTCAGTCTGCTTCAGTCTGCTACAGTCTGCTACAGTCTGTTTCAGTCTGTTTCAGTCTGCTTCAGCCTGCTTCAGTCTGTTTCAGTCTGTTTCAGTCTGCTTCAGCCTGCTTTAGTCTGCTTCAGTCTGCTTCAGTCTGCTTCAGTCTGCTTCAGTCTGCTACAGTCTGCTTCAGTCTGCTACAGTCTGTTTCAGTCTGTTTCAGTCTGCTTCAGTCTGTTTCAGCCTGCTTCAGTCTGCTACAGTCTGCTTCAGTCTGCTTCAGTCTGCTACAGTCTGCTTCAGTCTGTTTCAGTCTGCTTCAGCCTGCTTCAGCCTGCTTCAGTCTGCTTCAGTCTGCTTCTCTCCATCTGCAAAAGTCTCATGTTTCATTCTGTTCACGACAAACTGTTTCAGTCCAACTCCATCGCCCTGTTCAGTCTCCTCTGAAGTCCAACAGTCTGGACCTGTTTCAGTCCAGTTTGAGTCCTGCTTGAGTCCTGCTTGAGTCCTGCTTGAGTCCTGTTTGAGTCCAGTTTGAGTCCAGTTTGAGTCCAGTTTGAGTCCATGTCCCGACCTTCTTCCTCAGTGACATCAGACACTTCCTGTTCCAAACGTGTGACAGTATGACGTCATGTCTGAGGTGAAAGGATGTGTCTGCTGCACACAGCACCTCCCTCTGCTGGTAGAAGTGGGGAATTACAGGCTCAGATCATTTCTATCCCTCATTAGTGTTTATCCATGTATTATCTACTCAGTTAAGGTGGCAGTCCCCCCTGGACTGCCACCTTAATCGTGGTGAGGGAGTTTGAGTACTCGGATGATCCTGGAAGCTATGTGTCTCGGACACTCGGGTGAAGAGAGGGGCGGAGCTAGAGAGAGGGGCGGAGCTGTCACTGATCACCACCTGGTCCTGAGTTGGATCCGCTGCAGGGGAGGAAGCCGAGTCTGATGCGGCGGCTCGTAGCTGTGGTCGCAGGGTGTCTGGTGCTGGTCCTGGCGGCAACCCCCGAACCCGGTGGTGGACACCGGCAGCAAGAGATGCTGTCAGACTGTAGAAGGAGTCCTGTCGAGCCATGATGGTTTGTGGGACTCCTGAGGCAGCTGTCCAGTACGCAGTTCTTTGCCAACACTGTGTATGGTGCGGGTGGAGAGCTGCTGACCTCGACTGGGGATATTGTCGGGTGGAGGAAGGAATACTTTGAGGTTCTCCTCAATTCCCCGTCACGTCCTCTGTTACAGAGGCAGAGGCTGAGGATGTTGGGGCGGATACATCCATCTCCCTGGCAGAGGTGGAAGTCTCTGCAACATCACCTGGCGATCGGGGGCGGTGCCAATGGAGTGGCAGACCGGGGTGCTGGTCCCTCTCTACAAGAAGGGGGACCGGAGGGTGTGTTCCAATTATCGTGGGATCACACTCCCTCCCCGGTAAGGTCTACTCCAAGGTACTGGAGACGAGGCTACGGCCGATGGTCGAATCTCGGATTCAGGAGGAGCAGTGTGGTTTTCGTCCCGGTCGCGGAACACTGGACCAGCTCTATACTCTCCATCGGATACTCGAGGGTTCATGGGAGTTCGCCCAACCTGTCCACATGTGCTTTGTGGATTTGGAGAAGGCGTTCGATCGTGTTCCCCGGGGTGTCCTTTGGGGGGTCCTCCGGGAGTACGGGGTCCGGGGTCCTCTGCTGAGGGCCGTCCGGTCCCTGTATGACCGGAGCCAGAGCTGTGTTTGCATTGCCGGCAGTAAGTCAGACCTGTTCCGCCAGGGCTGCCCTTTGTCACCGGTTCTGTTCACTGTATTCATGGACAGAATTTCTAGGCGCAGCCAGGGGTCGGAGGGGGTCCGGTTCGGAGACCACAGGATTTCATCTCTGCTGTTTGCAGACGATGTTGTCCTGTTGGCTCCAACGAACCAGGACCTGCAACATGCACTGGGGCGGTTTGCAGCCGAGTGTGAAGCAGCTGGGATGAGAATCAGCACCTCCAAATCTGAGGCCATGGTGCTCGACCGGAAAAAGGTGCTTTTCCCTCTCCGAGTCCTGGTCCTCTCCTGGTCCTGGTCCAGGTGGAGAGGTCCTTCCTCAAGTGGAAGAGTTCAAGTATCTCGGGGTCTTGTTCACGAGTGAGGGAAGGATGGAGCATGAGATTGGATCAGTGCAGCGTCTGCCGTCAGAGCTGTATCAGACCGTTGTGGTAAAGAGGGAGCAGTGTCTGCAGTCAGAGCTGTATCAGACCGTTGTGGTAAAGAGGGAGCTGAGCCGAAAGGCAAAACTCTCAATTTACCGGTCAATCTTCGTTCCCTCCCTCACCTATGGTCATGAGCTTTGGGTAATGACCGAAAAAACGAGATCACGGATACAAGCGGTCGAAATGAGCTTCCTCCGCAGAGCTTCCTCCCTGGGGAGGTGTTCCGGGCACGTCCCACCGGGAGGAGGCCCCGGGGAAGACCCAGGACACGCTGGAGGGACTATGTCTCTCAACTGGCCTGGGAACGCCTTGGGGTCCCCCGGACGAGCTGGAGGAAGTGTGTGTGGATAGGGAAGAAAATGGAATGGAATGTTCTCAGAAAATGATCCACATTCTAAAACATGAAAGACTAAATGCAGTTCTCTCATTATCGAGTTTAAGAGACAAATATGAGGCTGGATATTCCTCCTTTCACTCCGTCCTGAAGCTGCAGAGACAGAAGTCCGCCTCCTGTCGTTAGTCAAAATCATTTCAAAGGCATTTTGTATGAAGTTCTTTTGTGTTTCTTTAGAAAGACTAGTTTGATGTAGAACCTTCTTAACATGTTTTGGCTGAATTCTGACTTGTATAAGTTTAAGACTAAATCTGCAGCAGACTCTTGATGATGAAGGATCCAAAGTGCTGCTGACTGAGCTGAGAAGAAACACTGCTGTGAATGGAGGGCACGGACCACAGTGGTTTGTCGGGGGGTGTGGGGGGGCGGGGTGCGTTACCTGGAGGAAATGCTGCTGATGCTGATGCTGATGCTGAGGCTGAGGCTGATGCTGAGGCTGACTGGCCTGAGCTTTCACTAGGGCTCTATCTAGAAGGCTTAGGTTACTGGCAGCTCCTGGGCTCTGGGGCCTGGCTCTGCTCACCGTGAGACTGGACGACCAGGCGCCTTTCTTCTCCGACATGTTTAAGGGCACCAGTGCTCCGCTCTGAGAGCCCCCTCGGTCTGCGTTATTAGGCCTGAAACACAACCACAACATCAACAACAGTAAACACTTCATCTGGCCATTCCACAGATGCTTGAACTTCAGGATGGACCGCTCAGATTCTGATTCTCTGCCACCTGCAAAAGAACAAGGCACCTTTCATGGTCTTACTCCAGTCTACATCCATGGTCTTTCTCTAGTGCAGGCCCATGGTCTTTCTCTAGTGCAGGTCCATGGTCTTTCTCTAGTACAGGTCCATGGTCTTTCTCTAGTACAGGTCCATGGTCTTTCTCTAGTACAGGTCCATGGTCTTTCTCTAGTACAGGTCCATGGTCTTTCTCTAGTGCAGACCCATGGTCTTTCTCTAGTGCAGATCCATGGTCTTTCTCTAGTGCAGGTCCATGGTCTTTCTCTAGTACAGGTCCATGGTCTTTCTCTAGTACAGGTCCATGGTCTTTCTCTAGTACAGGTCCATGGTCTTTCTCTAGTGCAGACCCATGGTCTTTCTCTAGTGCAGACCCATGGTCTTTCTCTAGTACAGGTCCATGGTCTTTCTCTAGTGCAGACCCATGGTCTTTCTCTAGTACAGGTCCATGGTCTTTCTCTAGTACAGGTCCATGGTCTTTCTCTAGTACAGGTCCATGGTCTTTCTCTAGTGCAGACCCATGGTCTTTCTCTAGTGCAGACCCATGGTCTTTCTCTAGTACAGGTCCATGGTCTTTCTCTAGTGCAGACCCATGGTCTTTCTCTAGTGCAGACCCATGGTCTTTCTCTAGTGCAGGTCTATGGTCTTTCTCTAGTGCAGGCCCATGGTCTTTCTCTAGTGCAGGTCCATGGTCTACATGGTAGTGCAGACCCATGGTCTTTCTCTAGTGCAGACCCATGGTCTTTCTCTAGTGCAGGTCCATGGTCTACATGGTAGTGCAGCCCCATGGTCTTTCTCTAGTGCAGGTCCATGGTCTACATGGTAGTGCAGACCCATGGTCTTTCTCTAGTGCAGGTCCATGGTCTACATGGTAGTGCAGACCCATGGTCTTTCTCTAGTGCAGGTCCATGGTCTACATGGTAGTGCAGACCCATGGTCTTTCTCTAGTGCAGGTCCATGGTCTACATGGTAGTGCAGACCCATGGTCTTTCTCTAGTGCAGGTCCATGGTCTACATGGTAGTGCAGACCCATGGTCTTTCTCTAGTGCAGGTCCATGGTCTACATGGTAGTGCAGACCCATGGTCTTTCTCTAGTGCAGGTCCATGGTCTACATGGTAGTGCAGACCCATGGTCTTTCTCTAGTGCAGGTCCATGGTCTACATGGTAGTGCAGACCCATGGTCTTTCTCTAGTGCAGGTCCATGGTCTACATGGTAGTGCAGACCCATGGTCTTTCTCTAGTGCAGGTCCATGGTCTACATGGTAGTGCAGATGATGGTGATCCCGCTGTTCGAGGTCCTGGTTTCATGAAGCCGACAGAACATCATCTGTGGCAGAAATCCAATCCTGTGGTCCTTAAACCGGCCCCCTCTGGCCCCCTCTGGCCCCCTCTGGCCCCCGGCTGCTCTGACACACTCTGTGACAAAGGGCCACCGGACCCTGGACCCTCTCTGACTGCCCCCAATGCAAACCCAGCTCTGACTCTGACAGGACCTCGTAACACTGAGGGACCCACAGACGACTCTCAGGTCGAGCATGAGGACTGAGGCCGACTCCCATGATCCTCAGCACATATCTGCATAGGTTTACTGTTTAGACCTGGTCCAGGACCAGGACCTGGACCAGGACCTGGACCAGGACCAGGACCAGGACCACACAGCTCATCCTGATCAGAGGACCACTGCGGAGAACCATGAGAAAAGCTCCTGCTCCAGACTCACGTGTTATTGCTGATGGCGGGCGTGTACTTGGTGATGACATCATTACTGCGTGACACCTTGAGCGGCTGGTGGTGGTTGCCGTGATGATGGTGGTGGTTGCCGTGGTGATGGTGTCCGTGATGATGAGACGATGACGACGAGTGGTGTCCGTGATGCGAGTGCGAGTGGGTCAGCGGCGAGTGCTCGTTCAGCGTGTTACTGTCGACAACAGAAACATCATAGACCAAAAGTCCTGGGTCTATGGCCTCAGTCCTGGGTCTACAGCCTCAGTCCTGGGTCTACAGCCTCAGTCCTGGGTCTATGGCCTCAGTCCTGGGTCTACAGCCTCAGTCCTGGGTCTACAGCCTCAGTCCTGGGTCTACAGCCTCAGTCCTGGGTCTACAGCCTCAGTCCTGGGTCTACAGCCTCAGTCCTGGGTCTACAGCCTCAGTCCTGGGTCTACAGCCTCAGTCCTGGGTCTACAGCCTCAGTCCTGGGTCTACAGCCTCAGTCCTGGGTCTACAGCCTCAGTCCTGTGAGCTTACGTGGCGTAGGGGTCCATGATGCTGAAGTACTGCTGTGACTGGGACACGGTTAGCGGGCTGTGGGTGTAGCTGGGCTCGGGCGGCTGGCCTGGATACCGGCTGATCGTCATGGCGATGGGGGAGGGCGACAGGGAGGGTGCGGGGGAGGGCGGGGGGTGGTACAGGCACAGCTCACGCTCCAGGTTGTCGTCCGAGCTCCAGTACCCGGAGCCGGGCGCCGAGGCGGACCCGTGCAGCTGGTGATGGTGGTAGTGCGCGCGGTGCTTGGGCTCCGCAGACCTGCAGCGCTCGCGACTTTTACTGCGTTTACGATGACGGCTTCCTCCTCCTGCCGTCGACTCCCCGTCAGGACTCGCACGGGATCTGGGGCTGAAGGAAACGACACGTGAGACACTAGTTTATACAGAATCAGAATCTAATATATATACGGCCAAAACATTCAGCAGTGCTAGCTTCTTTACACTTTACTCTTTTTCTAAGAACCTACTGAGCCTTAAACATAAGGAGACAAAATTAACTTTATACATTTGAGATCTAATGCTAACGCTAATACTAACACTAATGCTAACGCTAACACTAAAGTTAATTCTAATGCTAATGCTAACGCTAATGCTAATGCTAACACTAACGCTAACGCTAATGCTAACGCTAATGCTAACGCTGTGTTGTCAGAAGCACTCACCTGGAGCCGCCTCCCCCGCTCGCCCGCTCGCCGCCCATCACGCTCACGCTGCCGTTGCTGGGCGCCTTCACGGACGGCGTGTGGTGCGGTCCTTCCAGAGAGTGAGATTTGGTGAAGAGCTTCTGCACAGAGTGGACCAGGTGCCGGATCCTGCCGGGGCTGTCGTTGTTGTTGTTGGGGGCCACCATGCCGCGCTTGTACTGCAGCGTGTGGTAACCGTCTCTGGAGAAGGACGACTGGCGCTCCAGCTCGTAGCTCGCCGGGACTCTGGTCGGCGTCTTCCCGCAGTAGCCGCCTCCCCCCACGTACGGCACCACAGCCATGCTCTCGTCTCGGCTGTCGGCGTGGTGCGAGGAGGAGGTGGAGAGGCAGCGGCGCGGGAAGGTCCCGTACGGCACGATGCTGTTGGAGTCCGAGGGGAAGTGTTGGGGGTTGTAGTAGTCCGAGGGGCTGGGCACAGGGACCGGCATGTCCATCTGACTGAGGAGGAAGGGTTTACGGTCCATGTGGTGGTGCCCCATCGGGTCGTAGGACGGGTCGTAGGACACCAGCTGGTGGTGCGCCCGGCTGCTGGACAAACCCTTCATGATGGAGGGGGGTCCAGGTAGAGGCTGAGGGGGGGACTATCCCTGAGAGAGGAGCACCGGGACCTGCAACAACACAAGGACCGAGGTTCAACATGTTTAAGAATGAATGGATGAATGAGAGAAAACACTGGGCTGCGTTTTAATAATGAATATAATAATGTGTAGTAAATATTTCAGGTTCAAAGGTCAAAGCTCCTCAGACTCTCGGATCCTTCGCTGGAACAAACCGGTCGCAGAACAAGTGTGAATGAGTGAATGAGTGAATGAGTGACTGAGTGACTGAGTGACTGAGTGACTGAGTGACTGAGTGACTGAGTGACTGAGTGACTGAGTGACTGAATGAATGAGTGACTGAGTGACTGAGTGACTGAGTGAATGAGTGACTGAGTGACTGAGTGACTGAGTGAATGAGTGAATGAGTGACTGAGTGACTGAGTGACTGAGTGACTGAGTGAATGAGTGAATGAGTGACTGAGTGACTGAGTGACTGAGTGACTGAATGAATGAGTGACTGAGTGACTGAGTGACTGAGTGAATGAGTGAATGAGTGAATGAGTGACTGAGTGAATGAGTGACTGAGTGAATGAGTGACTGAGTGACTGAGTGACTGAGTGAATGAGTGACTGAGTGAATGAGTGAATGAGTGAATGAGTGACTGAGTGAATGAGTGACTGAGTGAATGAGTGACTGAGTGACTGAGTGACTGAGTGAATGAGTGACTGAGTGACTGAGTGACTGAGTGACTGAGTGACTGAGTGACTGAGTGACTGAGTGAATGAGTGACTGAGTGACTGAGTGACTGAGTGAATGAGTGAATGAGTGACTGAGTGACTGAGTGACTGAGTGAATGAGTGAATGAGTGACTGAGTGACTGAGTGAATGAGTGACTGAGTGACTGAGTGACTGAGTGACTGAGTGACTGAGTGACTGAGTGAATGAGTGACTGAGTGACTGAGTGAATGAGTGACTGAGTGACTGAGTGACTGAGTGACTGAGTGACTGAGTGACTGAGTGACTGAGTGACTGAGTGACTGAGTGAGGTGTGAAGGGCTGAGGTCTGGACCTGTCACTGCAGCTGCACACAAACACACAACGACATCTGAACACACAGCACAAGCTAAACTTAGACACACACAGCGGCCATGACAGAGACACAGGCAGAACATGCAAACCCTACCCATTCTAGCCCATGGCAAATCTGGGTTAGAACAGTTAAAAATCAAACGGGTGGAGTTTGCATGTTCTCCTCGTGTCCGCGCAGGTACCGTTAACAACATCCTTTGGTTCTGACCCAGCGCATCTGGAGATGGTCCTGTTACTACGGCAACCACTGCCCCCAACAGACGCCCAGTGGAGTCAGGGTCAAATGCAGACACTAATTTCTTCAACAAAGGGACCATAAATACCATAAATACCATAAAAACCATAAATACCATAAATACCATAAATACCATAAAAACCATAAATACCACAAATACCATTAATACCATGAACACCATAACTACCATAAATGTTGTCATTATGATGGTTCCCAGAGAATCACAGACACATGGTGCAGTCTCTTCATGTCCTTATCTCTCCAAACACAGCTGTGATGAGCGACTGTAGCCACAGCTGCCCCGGGGCACTCTCTGTTCCATGTTTACTGTGAGTTTCTTTTATACAGTGTTACAGTAAACTGCTTAAGTTAGAAATAAGATTTTTATTTGTGGCTGATCTTTAAATAAACGTGACCTAAGTCCTCGTTTATGGAAAAAAAGATCAAAGAAAACTGTAATAAGGCGAAAAAGAATCTGATCCGCTTCAGGCACATTCTGATCATGTTTACTTTAAATCAGCATGTCCAAACCAGCACCTACTATTATTATCATTATTATTATTATTATTATTATTAGGAACTAGGAACTAGTCTGCACCGAACCCAGACTGAGGACTGCCACGACCTGCACAGAGACTGATACAGGATCAGAACCAGGATCAGAACCAGGAGCAAAAACACAGAGACTGGTTTATGTGGAAGACGATGTTGGACCAACAACTCTAGGTTTAAAACAGTCCTCTTTAGTTAGCATGTGGCTAGGACGGCTAAACTCCTCAGACTGTCAGATGGACCTGGCCTCCTCCATCCACACCTGCGGACTGCCCCGCCCGACCCGCCTGGGAGTGCTTCAGTCCTGCACCGGACCTGTCCACGTTCAGCGGCCACTGGTCCACGTCCTGTAGCTAGCTTAGGTCCTGGATCTACAGCCTCAGTCCTCGTTCTACAGTCTGACTCCTGGATCTACAGCCTCAGTCCTCGTTCTACAGTCTGACTCCTGGATCTATAGCCCGTCCGTCCGTGGGAGAGGATCCCTTTCTCAAACCATGGGTCTCTCTGAGGTTTCTCACTTTTTCCCACTGGGTTTTCTGATGAGTCTTTGATGCAGGAGTCTGTTAGAGTCTGTGTCCAACAGAAGGACTGTGATGATCCAGGACACTTTAACATTCTACAACATGTATGACATTTATCACATGTATGACATTTATCACATGTATGACATTTATCACATGTATGACATTTATCACATGTATGACATTTATCACATGTATGACATTTATCACATGTATGACATTTATCACATGTGTGACATTTATCACATGTATGACATTTATCACATGTATGACATTTATCATATGTGTGACATTTATCATATGTGTGACATTTATCACATGTATGACATTTATCCCATGTATGACATTTATCAACATGTGTGACATTTATCACATGTATGACATTTATCACATGTGTGACATTTATCACATGTATGACATTTATCACATGTATGACATTTATCACATGTGTGACATTTATCACATGTATGACATTTATTACATGTGTGACATTTATCACATGTATGACATTTATCACATGTATGACATTTATCACATGTATGACATTTATCATATGTGTGACATTTATCACATGTATGACATTTATCACATGTATGACATTTATCAACATGTGTGACATTTATCACATGTATGACATTTATCACATGTATGACATTTATCACATGTATGACATTTATCATATGTGTGACATTTATCACATGTATGACATTTATCACATGTGTGACATTTATCAACATGTATGACATTTATCACATGTGTGACATTTATCACATGTATGACATTTATCACATGTGTGACATTTATCAACATGTATGACATTTATCACATGTGTGACATTTATCACATGTATGACATTTATCACATGTATGACATTTATCAACATGTATGACATTTATCACATGTGTGACATTTATCACATGTGTGACATTTATCACATGTGTGACATTTATCACATGTATGACATTTATCACATGTGTGACATTTATCAACATGTGTGACATTTATCACATGTGTGACATTTATCACATGTATGACATTTATCACATGTGTGACATTTATCACATGTGTGACATTTATCACATGTATGACATTTATCACATGTATGACATGTATCAACATGTGTGACATTTATCACATGTATGACATTTATCACATGTGTGACATTTATCCCATGTATGACATTTATCACATGTATGCCATTTATCACATGTGTGACATTTATCACATGTATGACATTTATCACATGTATGACATATATCACATGTATGACATTTATCACATGTATGACATTTATCACATGTATGACATTTATCACATGTATGACATTTATTATATGTGTGACATTTATCACATGTGTGACATTTATCACATGTATGACATTTATCACATGTGTGACATTTATCACATGTATGACATTTATCACATGTGTGACATTTATCACATGTATGACATTTATCACATGTATGACATTTATAAACATGTGTGACATTTATCACATGTGTGACATTTATCAACATGTGTGACATTTATCACATGTATGACATTTATCACATGTGTGACATTTATCACATGTATGACATTTATCACATGTATGACATTTATCACATGTGTGACATTTATCAACATGTGTGACATTTATCACATGTATGACATTTATCAACATGTGTGACATTTATCACATGTATGACATTTATCAACATGTGTGACATTTATCACATGTATGACATTTATCACATGTGTGACATTTATCACATGTATGACATTTATCACATGTGTGACATTTATCACATGTATGACATTTATCACATGTATGACATTTATCACCATGTGCTTTATATTCTTCATGTGTTTTAACTGTTGATTCTCTGACCTGTGTTGGTGATTTCAATGGTTTTGTTAAGTCTCTGAGATGACTTCTGTTGTGATTTAGGGAAATACAAGAATAAGGTGTTGCTGTAACCCTGGTGCAGGCAGAAGGGTTGGGGGGACGTGGGCAGTTCTCACATTAGTGACGAGGAGCCTTAAGTCCATGAAATGTGTTTGAATAATAGAAAGTCTCTGCTGCTGTGTGTGGGAGGCTCCTGGACCCGGCTATTTCTGGACAAACACCGAGTGGAATAAAAAGCTTTAGTCACAGACAGGTATCAGCCACAGTTATCACAGGTACACAGTTATCACAGGTACACAGGTATCACAGGTACACAGGTACACAGGAATCAGCCTCAGTTATCCCAGGTACACAGGTATCAGCCACAGTTATCACAGGTACACAGGTATCAGCTAGTAAGTTTTTTACTTTTATTTATTTATTTTTAGTTTAGTTTTTAGTTATTTTTGGGCATTTGTCTCTCACTCCACACAGAGATGGGAGCGGGGTCGCCGAACAGGAGGCACATGCCAGACCTATTGTACATATTTTTAGTGGTAGGGGAAACCGGAGTACCCGGAGGAAACCTACGCAGACACGGGGAGAACATGCAAACTCCACTCAGAAAGGCCCTGGTCCGACCGGGATTCGAACCCAGGACCTTCTTGCTGAGAGGCGAGAGTGCTGTCCACTCAGCCACCGTGCCGCCCAGCTACAGTTATCACAGGTACACAGGTATCAG